ATTGACTTGATGTCAAGTGTAGGAAAAAATAGCTGCGTGACTGCTTTTCAACATAAATTGAATGGCAAGCTTGCGTAATGTTTGCCACATATCTGTTGCACACAGCACCACTTATTCTAAACAGGTTTTGATGCTGTTTTCCCCATCTGGTTTTAAAGCTTAAGCTTTTTAGGGGGGAATTCAATTTATATGATCTTGACTGAGTGCCATAAATCCTTTGAAATATTTTTTGTGTGATGATTGAGATTAGATATAGAGTGACGTAAGGACAATATCAATTGAAAAAGCATAACTAAAACGAGATTTTTTTCACCTATACTTTAATCCTAATGACTTAGTGATAATTTATTTAATATACAATTAGCAGCATTTTCCTTAGGGATGCTTTACTTGTTAAATCAGCCCATTAACAGAAAAAAGAGTAATAACCCTATTATGGGAAAATTTGTTTTTATACAGAAATGGCTTGATGTATACACCAGCTCCTTAATTTCTGTTTGTAAACCTAGATGGTAAAATTAATAGCTTACTGATTTAGCTATTTTCAGTAAATTAAATGTCCTTTTGTTTTTTTTCTGCTTATCTTATGAGAAAAGATACAATGAAAGTACTGAAGCATTCACAGAAAGCATGCAATATTTAGCATACATTTTGGATATCACATACCTTGTAAACAGAGGTTTGTTCAGCTAACAGTACTTAACAACTTGGCTGTAGGGGATTCTGAAACCCAGCTTTCCCCATTACTGATAATCATTTCTCTTCATCATCTCATAGGGACAATTAAAAAATATCCTGATCTTTGTTTTCTTTGGTCTGCCCTGTTGTTTTCTTGATCCTATACTAACACATGCAATATGTGGCTGGCCCAGCATGAGTGTGTTGTGTGCAGGGGAGGGCACTCTATGTTTATTGGGGTGGGGGTCCAGCCATAAGTTCACTAGAACTGTGTTCAGGTTGGCAGGGATATATATCTGTGATGAATTTGGTGACATTTTTCAACAAAAGTAAAAATTGTAAGAGTCCTTCTTTCTTTATTTTTTTAGATTTTTAGTTACATTCATAACAAAACAAATTATTTTCAACCCAGAAATTCTGGTGGAATTTATATGATTATCCTTCAGCTTGCTTTCTTTTCTTATTATTTATGTTATAATTTCAAGACTGCCCACTTTTCCCCTTCACCTAAGGTTCTATTCCCATAGATTTTAGATCGATCTATCCCCGCGGGGAGTCTCACTAGATTACTTTCAGATAATCCGACTTAAATGTCCGTCCCGCCTACTACAAGCTGTAAGGGTGTAATTAACTTTCGTGTCCGCCCGGCTGACAGCTATTTAGCGTGAACCCCCAGGGAGTTAGGTCGATCTAAAGTAGGTCGATCTAAGCTATGGAAATGGGGTGTAAGTGTGTGAAGTAGAACATAAAGATGGACATTTTTATGACCTAAGAACATAATATCAATCCTAATGCTATGGATCCCCCTCCCCTGCCCCCAGTCCTGGTGCTATGGATTGCCCTCCCTGGGCTCAGTATTACACATAATGCCAATACATCACGCTGCATACTAGCCATTAAGGAAGAAAAATGTCCATTCTCTTCCTTCTCTTGGGTGCCTGGTCAGTTCTTAAATGAAATGACCCAATTTTATCAAGTTCAACAGCTACTGGGATCATTTCTATTGATTATTATGATTAACATTATTATTAAGTTGTGATTTTTGGCCCTGTTTATGGAAGGAAATAACACGATGTGTTTTGTTGCATTAATTTGATAATGTTGCTATAGGAAAGATTGTTGATGCTGTGTGTTTGGGAGCTATTTCTAAGTTGACTGGCATTGGTGTACCATGTTATGTTTATAAACTAAGGTTGAGACGTTACATATATATCATGTATTGGTATGGACATTTCTAAATACAGTATTTCCTTCATTGGTGATGTATGGAATAATGATTGAATTGTAAATAAAGATAACAGGAATGACTAATTATTGAATAATATGGTTGTACAGGTGTGTGTATGAGAGTTCAAGTTCATGCCAACGTCGTTCTCAAAATGTTAAAATGAATTTTGATATTCTGCAGTACATTAGTTGTGACTCAGATATCTGGGTTTATTTTCTATTTGCACATCATAGTTAACCATATTGCTTTGTAATATATATGCCTTTGGCTTGTTCTTTCCTTTGAGGACCAGGTATAAAGCAAAGGGATACAATTCTTTTGCATGTGCTTTGGCACACAGCGTCTTTATTTTTTCCAGTGACTCAGTTGTGGTGCCAAAAAATGTTAACCTTTTTCTTTAAGTTCCTTAGTTACGATTTAACCTTCATGTATTTTTTAGAAACTATAGTGTAAAGAACATGTCAGTCTTTAAACTAAAAGTGTCCTCGAATGAAGACCAATTTGTACTTAAAAATAGCACGTAAGAACTAGTTGGAATAGTGTTGTAGGTCCAAAAAATAAGATAAATAAATAAATAAATAAATGAGGTATATTTTGAGATAGGCAAAACAAAACCAATTTATGGCTAGATAAGAATTTTAAGATATCATTTAAAAAAAGATGTCACGGTGGTAATAAGTCAACTTACTTGTACTTGGTTTGTGAATATTATCATCCAGTCCTGAGACGTGGGTGAACAGTTGCCCATCAATAGGGTAGGGAAAGTCGCACTCCTGACCATTGAATGTGAAATACCAGCGCCTACAGGCAGCGCCGCCATATGCTGGGGCTGCTAGGCGCAGGTCACCATTCCATGTCACCCGCAAATCAGATGTGGAGTGCAATTTGATAAAGTTAGCACTCTAGAAAATGAAATGAGAAAAAAAAACTTAAGTGTGTATTATGTAGCAAAGTTGGTTTAAGATTTTTCATTTAAAATTATATGCTCTTAAAATTAAAGATAGATAAATTATATTTTGATGTAATATTTGGGTACTCATGATAAACAACTCATGAAATGAAGTAAAACTTTTACCTGTGCAAAAACATAGGGTGTAGGTGAAAACACAGATTGCATTAAATAGTTATTACATCAAGAATATGTTAACATAAAAAGCTAGAAAAGGCTAGATAAAAATGAAACATTTAGTCTGTTACTATAATATTACCATTAAAACTCCTTCATATTTGTTAGAATTCAGTCCTCTCCATACAAATTGTGTAATGCTCCTAAGTGGGCATTCTCCGGATTGTCCTTTCATTCCAACAAGCCCTGAAAGTACATTGTACTCAAGTCAAACACATATGCTTCTAGGTATAAAGTAAAGCATTTTATAACATTTTGTGTGAGTAGGTTCACACACACATACACACATGTGGACATATGTGTACGCATGCACGTGCACACACACACACACTATTAAATCTCAGTGCTTAAAACCCCCAGTACCTTGCTCTCCTTTGTCACCCTTCTGTCCCTTCCATACATTTTGTTCACTGCAGTCCTCCCCGTCACACTGACCATTGCTCTCCCTCTGCTTCTGAAATGTGGCTTCCTTGAGAAATTTACAAGGAAAAAAGGTATGACTATCTTACTGTTACAGTTTTGGAGGCTGATGCGTACACTTGTCAGGCAACTATATGCAACTGAAATACACTTAGAATGAAGATGAAAAATTGGGCCATATTGTGTCATAAACCATGATTTCCTCATTCTTTAAGACCGTGGCTTTAAATTTAAGAGTCCCAATGAAATGTTTTTTCCCATAAATAATCAGATAAAAAAAGATTCCTCTATTTTACCAAACCTTACCATATGTAAGAGCAGATTTTACTAATAAAATTATTTTTTTTTTTTTTGTAATCCTTTGTAAATTCACTTGGCTTATAACAGGGCGAGATTTATATGTATATGCTTCTAGAATCTATATTATCTTTTAGCAGCAAACTTTGAAAAAATTACTATAGAAGCTAAACACTTACCCTAACTCCAAGAAGAAGAACCAGCAGCACAATTACCAAATTAAAGCACCACCAAGCTAGAGTTTTATCAAACATTTTGAGTTGAAAATTCAAATAATTATTATACTTAAAACTTCCTATCAAGTGGAAAAAGACAAAAGAAAACGAACTAGTGATGTGGAAAAATGTATGCAAATGAGGTATGTATTTATTGATATGCAGTTCCGTATCAAAAAAAGGACACATCATCAATTTTTTACGACCACTGATAATATGTATGAATTTTATTTCAACAGTGAGTTGGCTGGAAATGATACATGCAGCAAAAGGCCTATAGCCTCTTGCTGCAGGTAAAATTACCATAGGCAGAGATGTATTTGCTTGTTGTCTGATGTACTAACTGCAATGAACTGAAAATATCAGTGAATTTTGGATTGGATTTATTGCTTTGAGCTATGTATACTGCACTATTTCACTTGGGAATTTACTGGTTTTATGTTGGAAGTTGACAGACAATATAAAACAAATGTGTGCCAATGTTGTCCCAGGTTAATAAATTTGATGCATGTTAACTTTTGATTTTGATTTATACAACATTTGCAATAGAAACAAACTGCATTGCTTTTACTCATTGCTTTTCACAGATTGAAATTGTAGTTCATAGTATATAACTGTTAGGTACTTCTTAGGTTCATGGTGATAAAAAGTATATTCAGATGAGTTTTGTGGTAGGTTTTGTATGATAAAAATGCATCTTCGTTATTGTGTGAAGATTTTTAGAGGAGTACATCCATATTATTACTTACCAATTAAACCAGCTATGAGCTCAAGCATACAAACATGCAGGCCAAGAAGTGAAAGGTGTTAGAAAATTCAAAATTGTTTCTTTTTGTCTTTTGATTTAATTCTTCTTATGATATATATTACTACTGATTATTGTAGGTAATTATACATACCATAGAAGTACTAAACCTTCCTTTTCAGGCTAGTTTTACAGGCATATAATTGCAGGGGTGCAGCAAAAAGTGTGATATGTATTGATATTTTCCTGATAAGCAAAAACCTGTTGAATGTAAAATTTTAAATGTTGTAGGCCATCAACCAGAGCGTTCTTAGCAACAGGCGTTCATATGCAGACCTCTTTGGCCGACTGATGACCACAGATATAGAGCGTGAGAAGAAACAGCATACTTTATGGACACGCAGAGTTCAGGATTGGAGAACACTCAACATACAACAGGCCAATGAAAAATTCCAGTAAGATATACTCATAATTTTAAAAATCCTCGTTATGGACCTGCGGTGTTTGTCAGCAGAGGATACCTTGACTATGATCAATTTGTGTTTTCCTCAAAATGGTTTCATCTTGTCACTGTTGATTTACCCTATGCTTTACCCTAACCCAATGGTATACCTGATGGATAACCTGATGGTTTTCTTAATTGGTAACCCAGTGGATAACCTGATGGAAACCTGATGATTTACCTTATGCTTTACCCAATAGTTTACCTGATAGATAACCTGATGGTTTTCTTGATGGGTAACCGGATGGATTACCTGATGGATAACCTGATTGAAACCTGATGGTTAACCCAATGGTTTACCTGATGGTTCACCTGAAGGGTGACAGAAATAAACAGTTGATAGACATTGCATGTGCAGCAATGAATTTGTGTAATCTGTGTGACAGCCAACTGGATGTCTAATGATTTTTATGACATTTCATTAAGAATTTGCAGAAACAGCTGTTTTGAATGCTTTGCCCATTTGCTTTCCTGCATTTGCTTGTCATTTATTTTATTGATTGATTAGTTGATTGATTTATAGGAACTTCATGTCCAGTGAGGCTGTTGTGCGACCACAGGGTGCCCAGAAAGTCTTAGAACTGATGAAAACTGAGCAGGGCTCTTTGAATGAAAGGAGGCTTAGACTCATCTCTTCACTCAAGTAGGTGGCTAAGTATTTATGAGATGAGATGTTTAAGTCAATTTTCATTGCTAGTGATAGCAGCATTGGTACCTGTTTGGATATATTGTATGCTGTGCAAATTCTTTCTAAATGGATTTAACATTTTTGTCAAAAAATTTTTTTTAATTGTCAAGAATTTTAAAGCAGTTATTTCAGAAATATTTTTGGAAGCCTTTGTCAGTATATGAAGTAAAACTACTATTTTAATTCATGTGGAAACTTGAGGACTATATTCATTGTATATCTGTTAATTGCTGTCATTCCAGAGAACTTAAGCCTCCAGCCTCTACCAAGACTGCTGTATACCACTGGAATGAGAAAGTAGTTGCATTATCAGAGCAGATAGGTAATATATGTTCATTATCATAAAACACTGGAAATGCTTGTTGGTGTTATGATTTTTGGTGTGTGTTTTTTTATGAGAAAGGATTATAAATATGGATTTTGCTTAAAAGTAGTTACAGCAAGCTTTTGTACTGGAAACTGCTTCTGGAAAGGGAAATTATGTACAGAATTAATAGTCTACCATGTGCATTAGAAGGGAAAATGTATTTTGCGCCAAATGTTGCTTTGAGAAGATATTGTTGACATGTGGAACATAAATAGAAGCAACTTTATTATTTCTGTTTTTCTATTCAAAATTTTTTCTTAAAACTTAGTATAAATCAAAGTGCTTTTTAACCAAATTTGCAATTTACACGAATGTGATGACTCACTGAAAAACAATTAAGACCTTAAAGTTTATACTATTTAAAACCTGAAGAAAAATATATCAATTTCCAGATGCTCTAAATCAAGGCTACTTAGAGAGATTACACAGTGAATATGAAGAAGTGTGTCAGTTATGCTTGGAGGAAGTAGAGAAAGCCAGGGTAAGAATAGTGCCTAATTTTTCACTCACAACAGCAAACATGAGGAACGAACTTGACTTGAAATCAAAATTATTCATCTTTACATCTTGTTACTTCTGTTTATTGCCACCAACACATACTGATGAATATTCCACATGATTTGCATTCTTAAAACAAACATCTAAAAAGTAATCATGGGTTTCAGGGCTGCATATTCAAAACATAATAGTGATAATTCCACACAGTATTTGTTGTTTATTCAGTAGTTTAACATGTACTATAATATAGTCCTCTTATCTGTTTTCAGAAAAAGCTGATCAGCAGTGGTGTGTGCTCAGAGCAGAAAGCCACAGAGGTGATAGAGGAAAGTTTCCTGCCTTTGGTTGGAGACAGACAAAAATTATTTGAACAAGAATTAGAAGATATGGATGTAAGTCATGAAGCAGAAAATAATAATAATAATTATTATTATTATAGTAAAATGATATTGATAAGTGGTTTTATTAAAAATTTCATTTATTCAACATATAAAGAAATTTAAGGGAATGTTTAAATTAGAACTAAAGCTATGATTTGAAACAATACTTTGATTATTTATCACATTTTATGGCTGAGCATGGTAATAAAATAATGCTATAAGCCTATCAGTTAAAGAGATGTTTATCAATATGTTCAGCAATGATGTCAACAAATGGCATTTTCTTCTTTTCAAAATAATTCACACACTTTTTTAATTGCAGAAACAACTAGAAGAACACAATGATATGCTGATGATACACCTGAAAAGTCTGTTTAAGTTTGCCCAGGGGGCAGCGCATGTCTGGGACGTCCATGAAATTGGTCTCGCTAAGCAGGAAAGGTCACTTCAGGAGAAGCTGGAGAGCTGCAGGCACCAGCATGACAACCAGAATCAGGTGTGTTGTAAAGGAATTCATTCATATTTGTTGGTGGCTTGATTTTATAAGTTGATGCATGTATATTTGTTTGTGATTATTAAGATCTTGATTTTTTTTCATTGCAAAAATATGCCCTGAACATATTGTAAACCATACATCATTTTTAATTTATAACTAGATTTTAATAGTTAAAAGAAAATCCTTTTCAAAAGCATTATGCCACAATGGTGGATATTTATAATGGTCATGGCCATTAATTATGATTTGACTATTTTTAGGAAAAAGAAGGCAATTTGGACATCATCATGGACAGGATGAGACAAGATGCCACTGAGACAGCACTGAAGGAAAGTCTGAAGAAGGCAATGGACATGTTAGACAAGATCAGAAATGGGTATGTGGAGCTTCTCAGGTGTAGGGGCATACTTTCTTCAGGTGGTTACAGTTCTGAATGTGTCATTGGCTATCATATGATGTGATTTGATTTTATTTATCATATGACATATACCTATTTGATATTTTAATTGAATCATTTTCATGAAGCAATTATGATAAGTCATACTAGTACTGCTTCAAAATGTCAAAAGGATTTTCATTATTTATTATTTTTATAAATGTTATACTATTATTATTAAGGAAGAGATACAGTGCACAGTTTACCATGTCTGTCCATTTGGTCCTTGCTTCTTATAGCTTGAATTAAATTTATATTGTACTTAACATATATCTATTTTTTCACACCTTTTACTCATTTTCCCCTCCTGATAGCAACATTTTCATGTGACTGCATCTTTAATTCTGTATCATGTTAAACCTTCCAGATATGAAAGTTTCCATGAAGAGCAGATGGCTGTTGTCCGCTCTTATCCAGAGATGGTCAAGGATGAACTGGACAACTATGACCACACTGTGTGCAAGTTCTTCAGTGTGGACCGCAGGCACCCGGATGTAAGTGGAGGAGATAGTTACACTTGGGGCCTTAATTTTAAATATTGATGTGCTGTGAAAAATTGTTTCTATGAACGCTTTTTTATTTTTGACAGATAATATTTGAAGATAAATGAGGAGTATTGATATATGGTTTAAACTTGTCATTGAGAAATTGTTAACTGATGATTCCTAAGATTTTCGAGTAGATGAACTGCCAGTGACTTACTCTAATGTTAAATAATGTTCTGATGTATTTCTGAAGTTGAAAGTTTAGCATGCCATTTTTCTGTTGAGTGATATAATTTGGATTTTGCCATGCTACCATAAGGTAAACAAAGTGTTCAAAAACATTTCTCTCAAAAAAATTACTTATGTTTAACCAGGAACACTAAAATATGCCTAGTTTTAATTCAGAAACAACCAAAAAGGCAAATTTGCTCACAATATTCACATTACAGGATGTTGAGGCGAAGGACGAGGAAGAAACCACCAAAAGTAAAGAGGGGCTGACCCCGAGGTCAAAGGGCAAAAGTCGCAGGAAGTCCAAAAAGTCTGACCGACCTGGTAGCAGGACATCAGAGGGAGATGTAAGTTCTAGTGATGCTATTTTTTTCATTTTTCAGAAAAGATGCCCTTCATCAGATGTTTGCTTTTTACTAGGAATTGATTAGTTGTGATTTTGTTTTTGATTTGTCAGTGAGTGCTAAATCATATGCTTTTCTTTATGCAAAATTGTTATATTTGTAACCCATCAATTTGTCTGTTACACTCGCACAATTTGTTTTAAAAATATTGTGCTGTCCCAACAACCCATCTCATCTAACACAATCATCTCTCTACATGCCTCTGAACCATTCTATCTTATCTCACTACCATATCATCAGTTGGATGATCTATTGTGATAGTCCAAGCTCTAGTGATATATATTTTACTTCCTTGTCATAACAATGAACACTTACAGGGTGCAGGGTCTTATTAATATCTCGAAGACATTTTTCCAAAATATGGTTGCATTTTGGTGCAGTTTACATTTTTAGAAGCAAAGTAGCTGCTTGCTAGGCTTGTGCCCCATATGGTCAGATATGACGACAAGACTAAGTGGACGAAATTGCCAAACAGAACAGTAGTTTAGGATATTTGCCTGTTTGCAAAAAGCTGGGAAAAATTAACAACAGTGCAAATTTTATATATATTTAAGATTAAAGTAACTTAAAAATTTTTACAATGCGATGCCTGATAATAAGTGAATAAACTCTGCAGATACTTAGATGTTGTGTACATGCCAGAGTGACAGAGAATGTATAACCAGTCTTAAGTTAGAATATGGCAGCTAACTTCCTGGTCTTATCTATAGGATCTGTATTAATGACTATGGACTAGAAATGGATAATTTTTCCATCTTGGCAGTGGAAGGGCGTTTTTCATGATGTCAAGGTAATTGTCTGAAAAGTATTTCATTGTTGTCACTGTTTATCATTGGTGTCGACTACAGTGAAAGCATGCTGCACTAAGTTAAAATATGAGAAGGGTTTTTATTTGACATTGACATATAAAGACTAATAATAGAATTAAGTGCAGATTTACTGTGTAAGAAATAGCACATAGAGGTTCTGGAGTATTAAATTTCATTAGAGTTATGTCAAAGAACAACTTTTGGTATGGAAGTTCAACAATAATGAAATGATTCAGAATAATCAAATGATTCAGAAGAACATGGACTTCAAAAAGAAGTGTTGAAAAAAATTTTTATTTCTTAAATAAAATCAAGATTAACAACATAAGAAGCACTGGTGAGCAGCTAATGAAGGATTGTCCTTTAAAATTTGAACTGTTAGGCTATCAGTTATTTCTCATAAAAAACACATTTTACACTATGACATAACTATATCCAGTTAATCGAAGCATTACTCAATCAATATATTTGCTTTACTCAAATTTGAAGCAAAAAAAAAAAAAAAACATTAACACTGTGACATTGAAATCAGTCATCATATACAAAAAAACATAATTAAATTATTGGCTGGTGAATCATGTTTTGCAGCATAGCAGATGTCATTGCATACAACATTTAGTTCCAAATAAAGAGTCTGGATAGCTCAACATATTATAGTAATAACATATTCAAATACCAAGCTGTCAACTTGCTGCCATATTGTAGTCATATTGGCTTAAATTATACATGCATATTCAATAGATCTGAAGTGGAACAAGGAAAACTTCTCTTATACCATATAAACTGTAGTTAAATTGGACTTTGCCCTGAAATTAAATGTTCAGTGATTATAGGGATCATGACAAAGATGATAATTATTTTCATTTTTTTAATTTACAACATGAGGATAGCTTGTTGCATTGAACTTATTTGAAACATGCTCAGAGCTGTTGAACAGTATAAGAAATACATACAGTGAATACAGTGGACCTATATAATATTTGCTACGTATGAGGATTTCATAATTGACAGATAAATAATTTTCATAACAAAATCCATGGATAGGATATTTAGCTAGTTATAAAGCTAGATTGAAAAAAATTAATAAGACCCTATGAGATTATCCCCAGTTAAGACTTAGCACAAACATGTCTGTCACGTCACAGACTCTAAAATTACCCTTATAACCTAAGTTTAAATTCAGAAGCAGCTTGCTCGACAAGGAGATTGAATCCCATTTAGTATTTCAACTGTCCTACCTAGACAAGCTGTGATTTTTTTTTATTGATTCCTTGTGTGTGGGGCAGTCTGAACTTCAAAAAAAAAAAAAGAAAAAATTAATTTTGTGTTTGTGTTAGAACATCATCATCATTACAAATATATTTTTCTCATTGTGTTACTCATTTATCATAAAATGCATACATGTTAACAGATAAAGATAATTTTGATTATTGCTTAAAAGTAATTAAACCTATTGCATGTCAGTGAAGAAGTAATGACATTGTAAGGTCTGTACCCTAGCATATTTTAAGTAATTTCACGTTAACTGTATCTCATGCCATTTTGCCATCAAGAGATCATTTCAAATCAGTAACGTTTTATACCATGTCACTAGGTGCAGGGTTATGATGCTATTGAACAAATTGAATATAATATTTGAGAATTCTATGCTCTTTTATTTGAGATACATGGTTGTGGCTGTAATGGGTGATGTTTTAGTTAGATTTTCAAAAAAAAAAAAAAAAAAAAAGGAAAGGATTTATTATGTCCCAAAAATGATGGCCATTTTTCACAAATTGCTTTGATTTTTTTCCTTGTTCAGGGACAATCAGTGGGATAAGTTTTGATTTGCTCGACTCAGTGATAGATATGCTAAGCATCCACTGTCTTTTTTACATACAGACACAATATGTCCAGGGCACAGGACAGTCTGCATGCAGTTTCTTGAAGTCTTTGTAGGTTGTTTTAATGGTTGTTTTAACAGTGTGGTTTGTTGAATTTACCCATGGCTGTTGTGGTATAGAGCTGTAGCAAGTGAACCCTTAACTAATGGTAGCTTTCTAAGCTCCTCCTTTTTTCAATCAATTGGTCAATGAAAGAATTTTCAGTAAAAACTCATATTTTGGATTTGTTTCATTCAAATTTCATATTTTAGCCTCTGTAGAGTGATTTTAATGCCAAATGTATTAATTGTCATTTTTTTTTCTGGTGGTAGCATTTGTGAAATGAAGGAGGAAGCAGAAACTTATGTTTTCAATATCACAGTGTAGATGAGCTCATATAAAATGTAATAATATGCCTAACCATGATATATGAATATAGTACAGCTGTGTCCATAGCTAACAAAGATGAGATTCTTCAATTTTGAACCACATTACCCCAAAAAACTTTCAATGAAATATAACAAGAGCATTAAAGTGAAGTCACATGAGCAACTAACGGAATTGAGTAGATCCCTACTGGTGATTTTACTCTTATGATATCTTTAATAATCAATTAATAGTTATAAATATGTTTTTGTATATGACCTCTTTTACACCAATATTTTGATATGCCATTATAAGCACTAACAATTCATCAAGCACAACCAACATGTCTTGTTTGTTAAAGGTGCTTGTTATTATTATAGATATTAGCATAACATGGTATCACAAGCCAGCCCATGTTGTTCCCTATGTTCCTACATATGTAAAGTACAATTTGTGCATAACTGATACAAGTGTTATACTCCTTTAATGGTAGTATGTACAACGGCACTTGTTATAAAAAGTTTCGAGAGCTCAGCAACCAAATTTTCATCCGCTGAAGCTGGAAGCTAGCTGTTACCGATAAGTTCCTATTTACAATGAGCATCAGGAATAGTCACATGTAAAAATTAACCATAAAAAAAGCTTATATTTGACATACATTTGAGTTGGAAGCAGATTTTAGCAGCTGTCTCTTTTTTTTCTGCTGGTGGTTTGGGCATAATGTATCAGTGAGTCTTATGTCCAGTTAACTGGCCAACTTATTAGAGCCCTGTCCTAAAGTTTGTCATACAGGTTCACACACTTCCAGAAATCCAGTCCAGGTATATGATTTCAGGTATCTTAAGTGTGCCCGTTTTAGAAATTCACTGTTTCATAAATTCATCACAGCATTGCCATAGCCTGACCTGGTTCTTCAAGTGGGCTTTTTTCCAGACACCCAGTTATTATGGGATCAGAACTATTTATTATTATAGTATGAACCTCATCCCAAACTCAGTATGACCTCTTAATTGAGCCTCTTTTTAAATTTATCATTATTTGATAAACTCTCAATGGGATCTCTTCTGTGAGCAGCTTTTTGATCATAACTTGGAAATTTCTGACACAGAACTGACCCAGGCCCCCCCCTGGTTGGGCCTCCTCTCTTGGGCACTTTGTTCTCGGCCGTGCTCTCCTCCCTAACTGAGCCTCCTATAAGAGTCAATTTGTGATCATAACTTGGTAAACTCAGTCTTTGTACTGACCCAGGTCCCCCAACTAGGCCTCCTCTCATGAGCACTGTGCTTGTACACTGGGTTCACTTTGGTCTCTCCCTCTTGAAGAGGGGCGTGGAACTTCTTTTCATCATACTCAAAGTCATTCATTGCGATATCCTTGAGGGAGTTGATGGATTCTTGGGATCCTCTCCTTCTAGGTGGTGGTGGTAAGTCGACTTCCTCGTCTCTTGGGGGCCTTGACCGCACATGTCCATTTTCTCGTTTATCTGTTGGTCGATACATGAGGGGCCTTTGTATTTTCTCATCCTGGACTTCTTGGAGATGGGATGGGTGTAGGTTTTGGAGTTCTTTGTCTATACCATCAGTTCCAATAAGTAATGGAATGCTAAGGCGTATAGGTTTGGCATTGTCTACTTCCACTGTGAAATCTAAGGAGTAACTTATATCTATTATGTCACAGCCGTCTAATCGAGATTCTGGTACGTATGGAGGGATGGTGAGGCGAACATTCCGCCATCGCCGACCTTCACCTATGGACATTTCCCACTCATCTCGCTTCTTGTTGACTAGCTGGGAATGTGAAAGAGCCTGGTGCTTGGCTGAGAACCGGCTTACCATTAAGATACTGGCCTAAAAAATAGATTCATGAATGTTCTTTTATTGCAGTATAATATGATACAATACCAGGTATTAAAAGATATTTTGCTATTGATTGATTTGTCAGTTATGCTATCAGTTTTCTTTGTTGTTATGCAAGTTTCATCAAAAAAAATAGATGAAGCCATTTGTCACATTAGCATTATCAGACTGTAGGTGCTGTTAAAACTGATGAATTTCAAGTAAATTGTTTTTAAAAAGATCCTTGAAGTTTTTTCTAAGTTATCTTACAATGTATCTTCATCTGTCTCTTTTACCTGTAATGCTTTCACTATCCTTGGGCTGTTATTGGAGACCTCCACAGTAAGAAAGATGTCTTCTCCTGGAAGGTGAACTCTCCTGTTTATACTGAGAGAAACGTGCACTTTCCCAGTTATACAAAATATTCCAAACTGCCTTCGACTGACCTCACAATGAAATGGTTGCAGTAATCCAATTTCATTTGAAATATCCATGTGACGTAAAACCAAGAAAGGCTCACTGATGATTATGGGGCTGATCGACATGCCTCGATCCTCTTGAAGGGTTGCCTTGACAACGTATGTGACACTTCCTTGTTTTCCAATGAAAGATGAAGGGATATTTGAGGGAAGTTCGTATTGAAATGGAAAATCATGGGTCCCCTTTTCTAGCTGGCGACGATTGTTTGGAGATGAAGCAATCAGTTTTTTAATCACATTGATGTAGGTTTCATGAGCGCGGAATTTTTCGTGGGACTTATCCTCCCAGCCAACTGTTGCCTCTCCCTTGATTTGTACAGTGATGTGTTTGATGAAGGTCGGCTCTGGGAAGTAGACGCTGACACAACCCCGCAGTATTTCCCCTGGTTCGTATTGGTATTGTTCATCGATATCATGTTCCAGGTGGACTTCTAAGCGGTCAGACATCTTTTCTCTTATGATTGGGGGTCTCCACAAATTTGCCTCTTCCACATCGTCTAGAAACCCTGTTAAAGAAGAGGGAAGTTGTTTAAAATAAGATGTATTGACTTAATTTTCCACTTGTGCATAGCAGGGAAGCTTTTTTGCTTGGAAAATTTAATGTTTCTGATGGAATAAAAACATGCAATATAGGTTTTTTCTTTTTGTGAACATCATTTTCATATGCATTTCTCTACCCCTTCTCTTTTTAGTCAAAACATTTGCAAAAAATGTGTAAATTTTTAAGGAAACAAGGTAAAAGCACCTTTTAACAGCTATTTAGCAAGGATTTATGCCTCTTAAGCTCAGGAGATAAGCACAGTTAATTTCTCTGCTTGTTAACAAGTAATTACAGCTCATGAATGGTCCAAGGTCATATATTACAGGTAAATGAGAGAGAACTAAGTAGGAAAAACAATCAGGTGTTCAAATCTTTTGAAAGCAAAGAACAAAGAAGTATATCACAATTTGCACCAGGTAACCCCAGTATAGGGCACATGTCTGTCAAATCCACATACAGAAATCCTATTCATATTTTTCTGGTATCACATTTCCTTTTTTTTTTTTCTGAATTTACTGATTTGTGGTTAAAAAAATGTGTGTCAGAAAGGCGATTATTTACCCTAAAATGGGATCATGACCAAGTAAGAAGTCACACTGCATGAGCAAATGGATGGCTAATTTTTTAAAAATTGGACAAATTTGGAGAATTTGAGTGTTTTGTGCAATTTGTGTGGTCACCACAGATGCTTCTGCTGATGTTTAAAATGTAAAAAATTTTACCAGCAAGGTGAGTGATTAAGTTTGAAGACGATGGTATGTATAAGTTGTACAGCCACAAGGGAATGATGGGAGAGAGCATTGGGATAAGTCATAGTGTTATAGTAAGTCAGGTAACATATATTTAACGAAATTATATTGTATTTGTTATAAATGCAATAGCCTTACCATATAGGTGTGTCAAACTTGTATTTGAAACATCTTATTATTTGGGATTTTTCTGGTTAAATTTTGAAGGTGAATGATAATCTCAAAATGTAAAATCATACAATACAACATTATGGTAAATCAACCTGAAGGTCATTGACATCATACTTGATATATACTGCTAGTTAGGCTTAGCTGGCACAAGCTTGTCTCCTTCTTTTGTACTGCTAACTTTGTATGCTCTATAGAATTAAGTCATTAATTAAGTCTTGCATGCAATGTTTTTTTTAGACGATTAATTTATGTAATTGGTAGCAACTACGGCCCTGTTGGGTTTTTGCTTTGAACAACAGCAACAATCTTTCATGTGTCTAAAAATCAATTATATTCATGAAGACAGGTATGCCTTTACTGGAAACTGTAACAAGATGTAATTTAGACAGATATATATGACTCTTCTAGGCTAATTGGGAAAAGTAAGTTGTACTCTGAATTTGAAAAAGATATCTTGTCTTTGAAGTCATGGTGAGAGGAAGCCGTATTGTATTAAATGGAGACATGTTGAGCATACTACTGAAGAGATTTGTGGAAAAGATTTATCTCTTAGTGTAAGAACATTGTTGTTGTTGTTGTGAACTCCAAATACGGTTCTCATAACATGCGTCAGTGATGACTTAATGTTGTAATAGTTCAAGAGAAGATTTAACTTCAAAAGAATATTGGAGATATTGATATTTCAGAATTCTTCAGATGTTTTCACAAGTGGCATTTGATTTTGGAAAAAAAATTTTTGTTTTCTTTTGCAATGGTTCAAAGCTCCTATTCAATAATTAGGTTGAATCTCAAGAAAAGTGTAAGCTCTTCAAAGAAGAATATACGAAAATTCTCCCATTTGTAATACTTATTTTTTGAGCACCAATGATGTTATATGTTATTCTATGTAAATTAGGTGAAAACAATCGACAGGCGTCTGACTGTGTAGTAGTCAGGTCAAACACGTGGATTAAGCTGGAACATAATCCATGCAGAATCAATAGCACCACACCCATCTGAATGGGGCAAGTGGTAGGTATATTTATACTTAAACATAAAAGTAAATAAAGGATGGATTTCTCCATGCTGAAAAGTGTTCACAATACCTTGCAGTAGATCAGAATTCTCTAGTTTGGTGAAAATCCTCTAGCTGATATGAAAACTATAGATCTGTTATTTTCTGGTCTTCATATAATCTAAAGATTTCGGTTACCTCTAAAGATTCTGCCTCTTCTGGTAGGTTTCGAGCAAGTGGGTGACTTTTGAATTGGGAGCCCTACATTTATATATAGATCTGCACAGGGTGTGGAGCACATTTTAGGGTGTCTCCTAAAATTTAAAGAACTTTCTGGATGGATTTAGACCTTCTAACAGCCCACACAGGGGATCTGCAAGGTCAGACTTAAAAACTAGCGACAGCTTAATCACCGTTGGAAATACATGGTTTAATTTAGCGAATGGGCTTAAGTAAATATCTTGACTTGTGCGTGTAATAATGAGGAGAAGATTCTAGTTGAAATAGTTCCTCATTGTGCCCTGATTGATGTGCTTAAGTAAAGTAGTTAAAGAGAAAAAACTTCACATTAATCTTAGTAACACCTGGACTTGTGCCAGACTGCTGGTGTGACAGTGAATAAAAAAAAAGATTTCATCATTCATTCTGTAAATTTTGTTGTTTCAATTAATAAAACTGTAAGGCAGGTTCTTTTTAGTAAAGCCAAGATATGAATTTTTTTTCTCTAAATAGAGCTTCTTTTTCTTTTTAGCAAAGTTGTTGAATACAAATAGGAGTCTGGACTCTTCACTGGTGCTATATGGTGGAGTACTTTGATTATTACTTCTAGGTCCACAATGAGTATTATAATTACACATAGTCACAGGAAATATGACAGTGATATATGTGGGGAGAAAACTTACAGTAACCCAGTGGCCAATAACTTGTCCTAAAGAGTGGAGGTCAGCCACAGACTTTTTTTCTACAGCATTTGAATTTGTCACTGCCTTGTGGCCCTAGGGCTTTCAATTATGTGGTGGGACCCACACGTTATCAATTCCTCTGTATATATATTTTTCAATTCCTCCATAGAATATATACTGCCCGTCCAGTAACTTTTACAGGTTAACATCTCAATTCTTATTTATTGTAGCTGAGAAGGAATTTGTGGTATTTCTAAAAGCTAAAGTTACGTGGGTGGTTTGTAAGGCACACGTTATACCTGTAGATGTTACCTGTTTTGTTGAAGGTTGCCAGAAGCTAAATATGTTCCCCTGTCATTAAGTAGGGGACAGGTTTCCTAAATTAATAAATCTTTCTGGATGCTATTGAATAGATTTAAACATATAGCCTGTAGGATAATGTAGAACTATTTTTTTCTCTATCAGCAGAAATCAGGTATTGGTCAAAACAGCAACTTGACATCTGGTAAAACTACTAGTAAACCTGATTTGTAATAAAATAGGATGAGTATATTTGTTACACCTCTTTTAAGTTAAAAACTTTAATCAATTAAGATATGTTTTTACACTTCTGTATTTGGCGTATTGGGATATTACATTGAGTGACGCAAAATCATAAAAAGAACCTTATTTTATATAAGAAATAATACAGTTTTTAACATCAAAGTGACCACTACCTCCAGCTTTCCCTTTCTCCATGTTCTTCGGTTCTGAAAAAATTGCTGTCATCATTGTGAAATTTTGATCTCAGAATACAGAATTTTCTCCTCCCTGTCAACCAAAGTTCAGTCCTCCTAACTCGGTGTCTTTTTTCCTCTTTAAATGAATCGACACTGTCCTAACTTATTCACACAGGCCAAAAGAATGTGATACCTTTCCCAATCATTCTGAATGTGGATACCACCTCCTCATTGCTGCCTTTATGATTGTGCAGTGTTAGAATCGGGGGCAGCCTATTGTCAGTGGCATAGCTAAAGGGGTTGCTCTGAAGGTGTGGTGAAACCTGAGCCTTTACACACAGCATTCAGGGGGCCCGTATGTTAACCTATGGGGGCCAGGACTATGGATAGTGGTATTAATCCCCAGATGATCCATCATGCTGATAATTGAATGTATTGATTTGTGCCCCGAAAGTGCATTTGTTTAGGTAAGGGATTTGTTTAGGAGGACAGACTCTCTCTTGAAAGAACTGAGAGAACAAGGCCCCGCCTTGCAACAATACACCCTCTCTGACTCAGACGAACTGACATTTTGTGAAGGGCTCCTTCTATATACATATATATAACATTATGGGTGGAACAGTGAGCTGTAGCACCTGTTTACTTTTTTATTTTACTTAAGGAGGCTAATACTTAAATACAATTGTTTAATTGGTAATTACACCGAGGGTGTAGTCCACATCATAGTATGTAAGAATATGGGTGTGGTTATGAAATTAAACCTATGTGACATTTTGCTAATAAGGAAAAAGAGAGAAGGTTTATCTTCACTTTGGTGATAAAACTAGTGAAAAGTATTTTATTTATTTATTTAAATCAGACAGGTTTTAGAAAAGATGTCTCCTCTCACTTCATCTGTGGGTAAGCACCCTTTTATTTCAATTTGATAATAACATAAAATGTGTCATCTAGCTCCTAATGTGAAAGAGATTTGGATTGACACTATTAGAAGAAGGAACAAATTAGGGGGCCATTTGTACTTGAAAATTGCAACGAGAGTCTTCTTTTTGGGCCTAAACATGCATCAAAGTGGGTGTAGCTACTGGTAAAATCTGAGAAACATGCCTGACATTTTGCTCGTAATGTGATAATTGTATTGAGGGTGGAGGGGAGCTGGTCAGAGTTTACTTTCGTACCACACCTTACCGTGACCTTCACTATGAGACGCCATATGGTGTAAATATAGGATCCCATGTATGCTTCACACTGTGTATGTTTGCTACATTTGCATGTGCAAGTTTGCTTTATTTTCTGTTTGTGCAGTATGTGTCGTACTCGTAACTTGTTTAGTTTAAACCATCTTCTTTTACTGCGTTGCCATTTTACTAATGAACATGCATGTTTTACTCAAGAAGATTTTAGATGTGCTCGGTTTTAATGTACTTTTCTTA